AAATATAATAGAAATAAAAGGAACATAATTCATACTTTGATTTTGTTTGCTTGTAACTATAAAATAATAAACGACTTAGTAACATCAAGGAAAAATAATAAAACAATAATTAAATTAAATAGAGTTGATTTGGGGCCAAATCCTCAAACAGTTCTACCTTTCACGCCTTGTCGTAAAGATAGAACCTCGAATAAAGTATGGACTCCTTGGAGTGCTTGAAGAGGGAATTTTGAAAGAAGAAGTGTAGGCTAGTGTTTAGGCTCGAGTATAGAAGAGAGAGAAAGAGAGTTAATTAATACCCCGTACATCAGAAATGAGGGGGTAATTATAGGGAAAATGAGTAGAGGGAACACACGAAACCCTAAAAAGATAATAATAAAAAAAACCCAAAAAAAAAACACCGCGACACGGTGACATGCACCATCAGACGGGGGAAAATCCCGTGACATGGGGGAAAACTAAGTGACGTTAGAAATAATTAGGTTACAGGAGATAAAACGCGTGAAGGGTTTATGCAGAAAGGACACGAAGCTGCCCCGTAGCAAAGCACTGGTACCATGTCACGAGAATGCACACCGTGGCTCGGCATTGAACCCCGTGACGCGGTGCTTTTTGCCGTGACGCAGGAAACTCTGTGTCCATTTTTCCGTCTAAATACATTTTTGCCCTAATTTCGTTCAGCCTTTTTAAGTGTTGATTGATAATTTAGGGCCATTTCTGATTTATTATTTATTAATTGCACCGAAATAATAAAATAAAAAGGTTTGGGCCAAAATAATAAATAACATAAACAAAATAAAAAAGTTTGGGCCAAAATGAAAAATAAACTATGCTTTAACTAAACATCAAGACTGATCCATGGACTATTAAAAACTGAATTTAATTAAATACGATTTATTAAGCACTCTCGGGATTAAATACTAAATCAGACCAATGATGGCGGTGAAAGATTTTTCGTCATCGGGTTTGGTTTGGGGGAGACATTTTTAGGTGTCTATAGGCACCATAGACCAAAAAGAATGTGGTTTCTCCTGTAGAACTTTTTGTTGTTGTTCGTATGGACCATAAAACATTTACCAACTCATCTACACACAAGTCGCTCTACTTTCTCAAACTTACGCTTGATACCATTGGAAATCAATTTGTTATAGGACTCAACTTGGCCATTGGCTCGACCGAGGCAAAACAATGAGTGATGCTCTGATCCCCTAACCATTCTTTGAGTTGGCGCATTTCGAAATGGGGTCCATTATCGAACACCATAAACTACGGCACTCCATAGCGAGTGATTATATTCTTCCATATGAAGGTTGATACGTCCGTCCACTTTATCCCTTGGATGACCTCAGCTTCGACCCACATTGTGTAGTAGTCGATCACTACTAATACATATTGCCTTTGACCATATGATGGCGTATACGGACCCAAGATGTTCATGCCCCATTTTGCAAAGGGGAGAGGACTTCTTATGGTCGATAAAATATTAGTCGGGCGATGAATTAGGGTTGCAAACTTCTGGCATTTATCACACATCTTCACCATTTTCATGGCATCTGCATTTTAGCTTGGCCAGTAGTACCCTAGGTTGGTGGCCTTTTCGGCCAAGGCTCGTCCTCCAATATGCGAACCACAATGCCCCTGGTGGAGGTCGTCAAGCACATCATGCCCCTTTTCCGGGGTAATACACTTCAGATAAGGCTTAACAAAATCTTTCTTGAATAACTCCTCGTTCTTCATCTCAAACTAGGCCACTCTGTTTTTCATCACCTAGCTCTCTTTTGGATCGACCGGGAGCAATCCGCCCCTTAGTTAGGAAATAATTCTGTCCATCCAAGTTGAGCTTCTATTAATCATTTGTACTAGCTCGGCTTCAATACCCCTCTTTTCCTTTACTTCCCAAAACACTGATCTGGGAGTATCACATGATGCCGAGGTTGCTAATTTGGAGAGGGCGTCAACTTGATGATTAGACGAACGGGGAACTTGTTGCAGGGTGAAGTGCTCTAGGCCCTCGGCCTCTTCTTTAACCATATTCAAATACTTCATCATGGCCGGCTTCCTAGCCTCAAAGTCACCATTCACTTGGCTGACTATCAGCTGGGAATCCGATCTCACATCAATCTTTGTTGCTCCTGCCGCCTTACTCATTCTAAGGCCAGCCAGGAGTGCTGCATACTCGGCCTCGTTATTGGAGGCTTGAAATTGAAATCTCAGCGCATACTCGAACTTATCTCCCTCGGGAGATTGACAAATGATTCCATCACCACATCTGGTCGCTGTTGCGCTTCCGTCCACATAGAACTTCTATATCTGATCCATACCGGCTGTAAATCCGGCCTAGTCATTTCTGCCAGAAAGTTGGCAAAGGCTTGCCCCTTGATCGCTTTTCTAGGTTCGAATGTGATATCAAAACCCCTAAGCTCCAAGGCGCACTTAAGCATTTGGCCACTAGCTTCCAAAGTTGCAAATGGCTTCTTCAACGGCTGATCTGTATAGACCATAATTAAGTGGGCTAGAAAATACGGTCGTAGCTTCTTTGATGCCATGAACAACTCAAGGCCAAACATCTCTATGGGTGGGTAACTAAGCTCGGCACTATGCAGTACGTAGCTGATGAAATAGACTGGGATCTGATTACAGTCCCTTTCAACAAGGAGGACGACACTTAAGGAGTGGTCTAAAATGGCAAGATACATGTATAGCTTTTCATCCTTGAGTGGACTAACGAGCCTAATCGTAGATACTAGTAGTTGCATAATTTTGATAAAGTCTAAGAAGACGGAGTTTCTTGGAAGACGAAGCCATTAAATGCAAAATAAGACCTTTTGAAGACTTAAAGAATTCAAGGGGTCATGCTAGTTTCCAATATGCATCAAACTATTATGCTTTACATATTTATGTTTATGCTTTTCATATGAATGATATGGTAGATGCATGTTTAGGTTTTCATTATGTTGTGATGATTAATTAAGTTCACTTAAATCAACCAACAGAGAAATCCTAGGTCCCTAATAATATTGAGTAAAACTTGTCTTTCCAAAGCACCACTTACCAACCGAACGAGGGTGATGGTGGGCTACGCCAAAGCGAGGTACCATCACTACTCCAAGGAATGTAAGGCACGCGGGTGTGCATGTTGGTTTTGGTTGAACTCATCGGTATGAGTGAGGAGTCCTCACATACTGTGGCAAAAGAGATAAATCGTCAAGATGCATTAGATGCGACAATTATCTAACTAAGAGTGGCTTGGAGCCAATAGCAAAGAGTTGCTTACCTTAGAAGATTGAGTGTTAATACAAGCCAAAGTATGATTAACCACTCATTGTTTCTTTGGATCTTGGAAACACCTTATTTTCGCCAAATATAATTTTTATGCGTGAATAAGACATTTAATGAGATTGAAGTTTGCATGAATGCTTTTAAATTTCAAACTTATTATGTTCTTGATAAATGGTTATACTTTGCACTTATATTTGTAGTATTCTAAATCAAATTATATTGTTTTCATGATTGATAAAGGAAATCTTTGAGAATGGTTCTCAAAAAAAGGAAAAGCATTTCTAAAATACAGTTCTCTTAAATGAATTTAATAACAAAATCTGAATGGACGGTTGGACATCATGTATTCGAAATACTAGGTAGTTTTGATAAAACATGAAGTATTGAGTTGCAAACTCAAATTGTCAACCAACATATCTTTTCGCTTCATACATAAATGAGGGGACTCATTGATGTAGTAATTCAAGCATGAATTAAAGGAAAAGATGGAACTTTGTTTTACGGCGCACTAGGTGCTTGATTATGCCTAACAAAGTATAAAAGTCAAGGCACTTAAAGAAATTGTTCTTAAAGTAAGGTCATGAGATATTGTATGATAAGAAATATAGGAAACGCGGAACGATAAAAAGGAATAAAATTATTCTTATTGAGCTAAAAGTAACACGACCTTCGTAATTTTTACAAAAAAATAAAAAAAAAATTATAAATATTTTATCTATATAAATTAATTACTCTATATATTGCATTGTTTTATAAATATTGTAATGTTTGAACCTTAACACTATGTACATCGCTTTTTGTAACCACAAATTGTGATTTATACGTAAGGAAAAATATAGTCGTTTGTTTATTTTTTAGATTCGTACTAATACAAAAGGAACGGAGGATGTATGTAAATAAAATATATAACCGACAAGTAAAATACATTATTCTTTATTTCCTACGCTGTAAAGTTTAAAAAATTTTGCACCCCCATTTCAAAATTTCTAGATCTGCCACTGCTGCCAAGTGTATTATCCTGTATGCGAACCATGATTAGGCACTATTTTGTGCTGAATTGATTCACTTGAGCACTGGTTCAAGCCAAATAAGGATTGCAATTTGACTAGTGTGCATTTTTCCCCTTGATAGGTTATACTAGCTGCAAATGCATACTAACACCAATGATTTTATCCTCAACCTTCCTGCAGCGCCCATTGGCAACTTATTTGTTGTATTTAGCCTAATCTTATATTCCTATCATGAAAAATACTAGTTGCTTTCGCCATTGCATTTGTTCATTAGGCTATCTGCGACAACTTATAATTAATACAGCACCATTAAGCTGTAAGGTATTTTTGTTTGTTACAAATATTGTTTACATGATATACAGATCGTGCCTTACTTCCTAAAAATCCTCCTTAAAAGACTCCGTTTCGCAAACGTTTACAAGCGATACAAGGTGTATAGGGTAGTTCCTACTAAAATATCTCCCGCTCTCAGCCCCTGTAGGGGATGGTGCACCTCGAGTACCATTTTGAGCCCGTTGAGTTAGTCACAGGCTCCCGGCTGCCAGCTCGACCAGGATAAGTCGGCTCCAGGCTCCCGGCTGCCAGTCCGACCAGGGTGAGTCGGTCACAGGCTCCTGGCTGCCAACTCAATCAGGGTGAGTCGGCACCAGGCTCATGACTGCCAGCTAACCAGGGTGAGTCGATCATAGGCTCCCAACTACCAGCCCCACCAGAATAAGTCGGCCACGGGCTGACCACTGAAATAAGGGTTATCATACACTATAAATACCCCCACATATGCCACATAAAGGGGGTTGATCAATATCTCTCCCTCTCTCTCTAAGTATATTAAGCTTTATACTCTCCTAAAAGGCAAACACTTAGTTATCCATCGGAGGGGGGTTCCTCAAAACCACCCCCGAGGGCAGTTTACGTTCTCTCTCTAGTAGGTCTTCCAGTGGTGCTGACGGAGTTTCCGCAGTCCAGCTCGAGACCCCAACAGGCAGCCTGAGACTCCAGCCGTGCAGTTAATGGTTAGGATATTCCCATCGGAGTACACCCAAAACAATTGGCGCTAGAAGGATTGGGGAACCAACCTGACCTTGAAGCATTAGTCGGCTAAGTTTTAGGGACAAGCAAGTGAGAGAGTTAAGGATAAGCTTACTTCTCCCCCAACCGAGGTGGTGGTCGAAAATAGATCGTAAATTCCAACCTCATTTTCACCTGATCTAGCACAAAAGTATTAGTACAAAGCCTAAAAGAGTAGATCTAAAAAGATTAAAGAGCTAAATCTGGGCGTATCTATTTCCTCCATGTCAACAACGATCAATTCTAACATTAAGCGGTCCCATAATCTCCCACCAACTCCAAATCCGCAAAAGCAGGCAAAGTTCTTCTTTTTCGAACATTATATTCTAATGTCCTTCATTGAAGTGCATATTTGAGCACTAAGCTTGCTGCATTTTATGCAAATTATGGGAAAAGGGAAGTAAGCAACTATAATATTATATCAAGTGGGTTTAAATCTGCTACTTGGTGATATTATGTGATGTTTAACTCATTTTAAAGTTGTGATTGCCATGTTAAACTATGATTGATATTGATTTCCAATCCGATAGTTTGCATTCTAATTTATAATCAAGACTTGTAGAGAGTATTTAGTTACTGGGTGGAGAAAAGCATTCATTTTTTTGTAGTTTCATTTTTTTATTTTAAAATCTTGACTCAAAAATTGGCCGAAAAACTGGTCGAAATAGTGGTAGGGGTGGTATTCACTTTCACAACTCCATTAGGGGGCAAACCCAAGTAGCATCAGTACTGCCCGTACCAGAAGCAGTAATGCTGGTGTTTAAGGAGCACATATATACAGATTTGCAAACCAGTACTCTCCTGTTCTATTCAGCAAATGGCATGACAATTAAGGAGCACATATATACAGATTTGCAAACCAATACAAGTTTTAACTTGCAGCAAGGTCACTCAAATGGAGTTGCTTGGCAGCACATGTTAAGGAGCACATGATTGCATTCTTAGTGATGCCGCAATTGTTTGGCAGCAGAAGCTGGTCATGTTATGGGCGAAATAATAGGCAGTAATTGTTATGAGAAGCGTTGAGCGTCATCATCAAATACTCTTGGCATCTGTCAAATTCCAGTAATCATCTAAAATAAGATGTATTACATCATCCGAGAAGCCTCCGATATGCCTTTTCTTATAGGGGAAGCTTGATAGTTCAAGCGCTGATGATAGCTTGAACTTCCATTCGTATAGGCACCATCGGCCCTTCACCAATCTACCAATGAGCTGCGGTGTAAAGCCTAGCCTTGTAGTCAGCTGACTAGTCAAGGTGCTGGCTTTGTCTTCTCGCCAGTCGGATCCAGCGTGCGAGACACAATGACACCTCAGGTACTGCCCTAAGAAAGTTAAGAAAATATCATGAAATTAGTATAAAGTCACAAATAAGTTAAAGAAATCATAAGGTACTGTCATAAACTTGTATTTTCTGCTTGATTTGAAAGAGAATGCCTTGCAGCTAACGCCTCACCAACATCAACATCATACTCTTCCCACCTTTTCCAATGTGGTCTCTAACCACACCCCCCAGACCCGCGGAAGCGTTGCTAAAGAAAGCCACATCAGAATTAATTTTGCACACCCCCAAAGGAGGGGCTTCCCAAGTCTGAGCAGCCTTGAGATACGAGCTCAGGCGTGTTAAACTAATCTCATTTGCCTTCTCATATTCGCCAACCAGATTTACAGCACGTTGAATCACCACATTAGTCAGAATACTCTTTTTTTCAAAGCACCAAGCATTCCTCTTAAGCCAAACACCCCCATAGAAGAGACCAAAAAATGTCCCACCACTCACTTTTTTTTATTATCTTTTAGAATATTTGGGCAGTAGGTTTTAAAGGATAAACAAGCCACATTATTAATTGCTAAACGGAGGGGAGAATTGTACCAAATAGCCTTGGCAGAAGAACAAGAGAAAAGAGAATGCATCAATGTTTCTTATTCTTCACCACAAAAAGGACACATCAGAATCGCAAATACCCCGCTTCTTGAGGTTACTACGAACAGGTAAACTACCATGGAGAGCTCGCCAACCAAAGTTCTTGACCTTGGGGGGACATGTGCCTTCCAGAGATACTTCCATATGTCTGTACAGACCATATGTCTGTACAGAGGGAAGAAGAGGACGATGTGGCAGCAGATTTGCCAGCCTTCAGCAGAGCAAAATAGGCACTCCTGACTGAGCATTCTCCAATTTTGGTCAGATGCCAAACCCAAGGATCTTCCCCCAAAGGGATCTTTTTAATCTCAGTTCTTTACCATTCCACAAAAAAGTTGTTCAGCATAGTGTCATTCCATCCTCCTTCATCCAAAAGCTATTTGACAAGTAAGGGCATTGACATCATATTGAGGCCTCAGCAAGTTCATGAAATTGGGAAAATTAGGAACCCACGGGTCTCTCCAAATGTCAATAGAGCCTCTACTCCCCACCAACTTCCGAGCTCCCATCTTAACCACATCTCTCGCAGACAAGATCGATCTCCACGTGTAGCTTGCATTTGGTGACACCTTGGCTGTCATAAGGTCTGAATTCAGGAAATATTTCTGTTTTAAGGTCCTCACCATCAAGGATTTTGCGTGTTTGTATTCAGGTATTTTTGGTAGTTGATTTAGGCTTAAGAAGCATTATTAATTAATCAACTAAGGAATAATCTAAAACCCTTACTTAGAACGAGGCTAAAGAATAAGTTACTCTGATCATCAATGATGAGAAAGGAAGGAACTCATCCTTCCTTGAGCAGAATAGCCTTGGCAGCAGGGCAATCCCTAAGGAGGTGTAACAGTGTTTCATCAGCATCTATGTAACATCTCTTACACCTTGGATCATTTATCAGGTGTCTGAGCTTCTTATTGGCATTGCATAGAACTTTATCATGAAAAATCTGCCACAAGAAAGCTCTAATCCTTTGTTGAACTGGTGTTTTCCAAGCTAGATTCCACTCAGGGTCTTTAGTTACCATATCATCATCCTTAATTAACTGCATTGCAGGTTTGACAGAAAAACCACCTGACTTGGCACCCTTCCAGTAACAAACATCACCCATGTTAGGGTCTTGGACTACTTGTGAGCAGCAATTCATTTCAGAGCATCTGTTGTGAGCAGCAATTCATTTCAGAACAATTGCTCCTTCGATGTCAGTTGGAATTATACCAACAGCAAGCTCCCTAAGAGGCCTATCAGTTGCCCAAACGTGATCCCCAAAAAGAGTGGAACCTCCATCCATTTCCAATGGCTACTGCCGACCCCTTCCTCAACCAATTCACATTATCAGTTATTCCACCCCACACATTAGACATGTTTGAAGTTGGAACAAACATGTCGATGTCACATCGACCTCTGCAATATTTGTGTCTGAGCACTCTAGACCATAGAGAAGCAGGTTCATTTAAAACTCTCCACCCAAGTTTTGTAAGAAACGCTAAGTTAGATTGTCTAGCCGAACGAATGCCTAGCCCCTCTTTCTCTCTAGGCAGTTGTAGTGTATCCCATGAGAGCAAGTGAATTTTACTTTTCTCCTCATCTCCGCCCCAAATAAATCTTCTCGTTTTTCAATCAATATTATCACACACTGACCGAGGAATTTTTGCAGAAATGAAGTCTTTACTTCCGATTAATTTTAACAATAATAACATAGATTTTAAATAACACAACACCTTTAATAAAATTAAAATAAGAATTTAGATAGAGAATTTACCAATTTCATCCATTTTGTTTTTAATGTCGACGAACTCATGGATTTTGCAGGCATTATGGAAGTAGAAATATTGATCATATATTGGATTCTTTATGCCATGACGATCCCAACGCTCCTTTCTCCATTCAGAAACTGATGAATCTGTAAACGATGCCCATCTGAGGCTCAATTCATTGTATAACTCTGGATCTTCAGGAGGAATCTGCAAAATATATTTAAGAAATTTCATAGAGCTTCGACTTATGAGAAACTTGCCCTTAAACATGCCCTTTTTCATGATTTTGACACAAAATTTGAATTAGCACCTATAATTCACCTAAGAAACTTTGTAATAATTTAAGGTTATCGACTTCATAAAAAAGAAAACTCACAAGTTTTAGATTCATACCTCGCCATCATATGGTAGCTGAAGGTCAGTTGACGGTTCGGGGTGAAGGGCAAGCCAATGAATGTAGTAGTTCTTCAAATTAATGCTCATGGAACAATCACGATCAATACCATATAATCGCTCAAACGTTTTAGCAAACTGCAATTTTTTTTAGAAGAAATTCAAGGAACATCATTCACTGATAGAACAAGTGTACTTGATATAAAAATTACTAAGCATATATAGCATTGATATATATATATATATATATATATATATATATATATATATATATAAGCTAGTTTAACACAAATAAAAAATTCCTAACTTCATAGGGTGTAAGTTGTATTGCAAAATGATGAGGCTGAGAGAGGAAATAATACAACGCTTAGCCTTCGTACAAGTGCAGGAACCGCAATGCATAGCATACATTTCATGGACCTCTTCACTGCGACCTTGTATACTTCCACAAGCCCCTGCAATGCCAGGGTTGCCCTAGGCCACCTCGTTAGTATGTAACTCAACCCACCCGACTCTAAGACATGCCCAACAAATGAAAGCTTGTTTCTTCTTCCAACTAGCTTCATGTTGCACCATATCCTCTCCGTCCATAGCTCTTAACACTTCACTAACTCAATCTTTGGCAGCTCCTTACCATCCAATAAACTTGCTCATAATGCTAAAACAACATTACATGTGGTCTAAGCCACAAGATTCTAATTAAGGGTGCTAAATCTTTGAGCCAAGCTCAAACAGGTTTAAGCTCAACTTGAGATCAATACGGTTTTGAGTAGAATTAGAGATTAGTATATATGTTTCTGTTTTATTAGGGGTAGATGTATGGTTGAGTAGTTTAATTAGAGTTCTTTATTTTTGGCACTGTTCCAACTGTTTTATTTTGACTTTTGTTCCATTAGATTGATAGGACTCAGTGTATATATAGAATGCAAGGTCATTATGTAGGGTTAGGACCTTGAAGAAACGATCTTACGCCTCCATACTCCATTTGATCTTTTTCCTGGAATCAAATTCTGATAGATACAGAATTTGAGAATGTTTATTTTGATGATTTGAATTCTAAAGAGCCAAAATCAGGTGTGATATGTTTTGATCCGAAATCAAACACTTTTTTTTCTTATTTAATACTCAGAAATTTCGCCTATTTTTAATCCTCTCTGGTAAAGATCCATATGCTGACCCTTATTATCTTGGGAGCTTAGATAGCTTTGACACACCTCTAGGTGTGATTATTTTCAATGGAAAAAAAACAACTGGTGGAGAAGCGTCAAGATGGCCCTCGGATCGAAGAATAACTTTATCAGATTATAATAAGTGGGTGAGGAATGATTATATGGTTAGATGTTGGTTGTCTACTACTGTAACAACCACTATAGTTGAACAAATGCTCTTAGTCAACTCTGCTAAATAATTTTGGGATGAGTTGAGTGAAATGTATGGTCAGTCCACATGTTGAAGAAAGAATTAAGTGACTAAGAACATTACAATTTAACTGTGTCTGAGTATATGGGGAAACTGAAAGAATACTGGGATAAAATAGGAAACATAGAAGGATTTCCTGTATGCAATTTTAGTGCTATGGGAAAGTGTACGTGTGATGTAGTGAGGAAGATGGTTGAGAGAGAAGAGAAAAATAGAGTAATTGAATTTTTCATGGGGTTGAATGCAGGATATGATGTTCAAAAACAGAATATCATAGGAATGTACCCTTTACCCACTCTGAACAAGGCTTATCAATTAGTCTTGCAAGTGGAAAAACAGAAAGAAATATCTGGTTTGATGGAGTCTGGAATGGAAGCAAGTGCATGCATTACTTGCAGGAAAGCAACACATGAGTTATCCTCATCAAAGAAGCAATTTTGGAAGCAATGGATATCAAAAGAGAGAGAGTAAGGAGGAGAAGAGTAGGAAGAAATGTGAACATTGCAAGTTCACAAGACATACTATAGATGAATGCTTAATGGTACACAAAGCTCAAATCTAAGGGAGTGAAGAGTGGGAAATATGTAGGAAACGTGAATGCTACTATTGAAAATGGAGCCCTAGATAACCGACTGGAGATTGAGAGTTCTGATGATAACCATAGCAAAGGTGTTAAACCTGATGCAGAGAGTAAGTGAAGTAGTGCAGGAGGTCCTAAGAGCAATGAGTCAGAAGCATCAACCTGGAAGCAGCTCGGGAATCAAGAACACGTGCAATTTTGCAGGTATAACATCCAACTTAAATGCATGTTCTTACTATGACATGCATGATCAGAATTCTTGGATAATTGATTTAGGAGCTTCTGACCATGTGGCCAGTAGCAAAGATTTTTTTGTTGAACTTAGAAATTTGAGAAAAGAAGTGACTATTGGGATGCCTGATGGGAATGCAAGAACAATGAAACAAATTAGAACAATTGTTTTGAGTCCTGAGATAAAGCTTAAAAATGTCTTATACATGCAAGAGCTTAAGCATAATCTTCTTTCAGTAAGCAAATTAGTAAGAAATGGAAACGTAAAGGTGTTGTTTACTGATGGTGGATGTTTGTTTCAGGACCCTTCTAGAGGATGAATCCTTGGATATGGGAAGGAGAAAGGAGGATTATATAAACTGATGATAGTTGGAGATTCGGAGAGGTTAGAGAAGCTGAATGATGAAAATAAAGTTCTAGATGGAGATGTATGCACTAGAAAAGTTTTGAATTGTAAATTCAAGAACAATTTAGAATTAATCCATGAAAGATTAGGCCATACTTCTCTGTCTAAGATGAGACACTTAACCTTTTGTGACTGTAAGAGTTTAAATGAGTATTTTTGTGATACTTCTTCTTTAGCAAAGCATCATAAATTGCCTTTTACTCCTAGTGCTTCTATTGCAAATGAAATTTTTGATGTGGTCCATGTAGATCTATGGGGCCTTATAGAACTCAAGCAATTACAGGGGCTTCTTATTTTCTCACAATCTTAGATGATAACTCTAGAACAACTTGGACATACATGTTGTCCAATAAAGAGCAAGTGAAAGGAGTTTTGAGAGATTTTCTAGCATATGTAGAGAGAATCAGTTCAAAACTAAAGTGAAAGTGATAAGAAGTGATAATGGGACAGAGATGTTTCAGAGTGAATGTAATGAGATATTTAAGATGAATGGGATTTGTCAATCAAAGGAGCGTAGTAGGGGTGACGCAACAAAATGGGAGAGTGGAAAGAAAACATAGACATTTGATCTAGACAACTAGGGCAATCAAAATACATGCAAGGATACCAAACAATCTCTAGGGCGAGTGTGTTTTGGCTGCCACACATTATTAATTTATTACCATCTTCTGTCTTAGGATGGAAAACTCTATACCAAAAGTTAATGAAGAAAGCTCCAAGTTATGAACATTTGAGAGTTGTAAGATGTCTTTGCTATGCTCCAAATGTTCTTAGAAAAGGAGACAAATTTGCACCTAAAGGTGTAAAATGTATATTTTTAGGTTATCCTGCAGAAGGCGTACAACATTCTTGAACTAGATTCATGAAGAATATTTTTGGCAAGAGATGTGTTCTTTAAGGAAAATATTTTCCTTTTCAAGCAATCTGCAAAAGAGCTTGCTAAATTGGCCAACAATATGATAGTTCTTCTTGAACTTTCATTTGATGATGAGAATGATACACCAATTCCCGAATTTGGTGATTCACGTCGTGAAGAGAGATTAAATGCGGAAATTAAAGAAATAGAACACACCAATCAAGAACAATAACTTGAGCAAGAAATGACAGAGAATGTACAAGGGGACTTTCAAGATACTGCAATACCAGACGAACAAGCAGAACCAATTTTGAGACCATCCAAAAGCAGTAGAGTTTCTTTGAAATTCAAAGAATATGAGAATGAATATCTGAAGAATAAGAAAAGACAGCAGAATGATGGTGAAGGAAATGCAAATTTGATGTTTGCAGATTTGGATAATCTGAACTACTATATTTTAGATTAATAAGTTTCATTGAATAATGTTATGAGAGTGAAAGAGTCATGCAGTTACAAGGAAACAGCTACAGATGCAGAATGGGTAAATGCTATGGAAGAAGAATTTGAGGCAATAAAAAAAAATGAGACCTGACTTAACCATCTCAGTTCAGCAATTAAGTCAGTATGTTAGTTGTCCTAGAAAACCTCACTTAAATGTTGTTTTACATGTGGTCCGATATCTCAAAGGGACAACAGATTTAGGATTGTTCTATCCTAGACAAAACGAATACATTTTACTTGGTTACAGTGATGCATATTCGGGGAGTTGCGCTCATTGTGGCAGGTCTTTTACAGGGTTCTATGTATTTTTGGGAACTTCCTTAATCTCTTGGAAGACCAAGAAACAAAATGTTGTATCTAAGTCATCATGTGAGGCTGAGCTTCGAAGCACGTCCCAAACTACTACTGAATTGGCATGGGTTACAGGGATCTTTGAAGATCTAAATATTGATGTTCCTCGGCTTATCACTTTGTTTTGTGATAACAAATCTGCACAATATATCGCAGAGAATCAAGCTTATCATGAAAGAACAAAGCATCTCAAACTTGATTGCTACTGTATTAGAGAGAATATAGATGCGGGTTCATCTCCACTTCTTATGTGAAGTCCACCCTTCCTGCTGACATTCTTACAAAATCATTACATTCTCAGCAGAATGATTTTCTTAGTGCCAAGTGAGGACTTGTGACTTTATCCCAAGTCCAACTTAAAGGGGGGTGTAGAATTAGAGATAAGTATATATGTTTATATTTTATTAGGGGTAGATGTATGGTTGAGTTGTTTAATTAGAGTTCTTTATTTTTGGTACTGTTCCAACTGTTTTCTTTTATCTTTTGTTCCGTTAGGTTGATAGGAGTCAGTGTATATATAGAATTCAAGCTCATTATGTAGGGTTAGGACCTTGAAGAAACGATCTTACGCCTCCATACTCCATTTGATCTTTCTCTTGGAATCAAATTTTGATAAAAACAGAATTTGAGAATGTTTATCTTGATGATTTGAATGTTGATTTTCACATTTTGCTCAAAGCTTAAACTTAGTTTTGAATTATGGTCATAATTTGGAATAAAACAACTATATAATTAAAAATATTGGCCCAAAAGTAAGTATTAAAATACTACTATTTATCATACTAATGTTGTAGGTCGTAAGGATACTTAAGCTGCTTGCAGTATAAGATTATATGCTCACAAAAAATACATTGTAAAGGCATCACCATCAAGATCTACTATTGCGATTATTATGAGACAAATTGAATTAACAAAATTATGTAACTTACCCCAATGGTAATGTGAAACTCTAACTGCTGTAACGGCTGGATGGAAATTTTGATTCCAGGTATCCTGCTCTGAGCCGACTAAAGAGACGAACTAATCCTGGTCCCTTGCAGCTGACGACCAAGTTGAGCCCATTTGCTTCCCAAACCTCCTCCTTGCGATGAACTTCCAACCTGAATCAAGAAAATGAAGAACATGTTAGAACAAAATTTAGCAAGAGGGACCGGATATTTCTTCTAGGCACATATCATAGCCGCTTTCCTAATAGTTTATTATCGATCATCTACAAAGCAACAGGGTTAACACGATATAACTATTGGGATACAAAGAAGAGACAATTGATTTTGGTTGTTTATCAAAATCAATCTACAAGAAGTTTATGAACAAGTGTTTGTAAACCCAATTAAGAGAAAATACTATAGATAAATTCTCTCAAAATAAGCAAGTTATATGATAATCTCTTTTTCTCATCCATCATGTATGTCATATAAACTCCTATTTATAGAATTTATATGAAGAGTAGTTAATATCCAACGGACATGTACTTTCACAAAGCACACCGGGCAATGCTGCCCTACCGGGCGTGAGCAACATCTCAATGAAATTGAGATAATTAACTATCTTACTCGTGCTCTCCCCACAGCAGCCAGGGTGAAGCACAAATTAGTCAATTTTGCCTTGTATTGTCACTTTAATACAAATTAGTCAATTTGCTTAAGTTGGTGAAGCGGCCAAACTTCTTACTCATGTAGATAGACTTTCAATATAAACATGCTCTTGCAATATGAGCAACCTCTCAAAAGTCTATTAAGAAATAAATTTCAACCTCTTTACATTGCAATACTAAGCACTAACCTTGGGATATATTAATAAATATAGTGCTTCAAATCACCAAGTAAAGTTGGATCCTCATTGAATTCAAGATCTAGCGTTGTACTAGACGTTGAATTCAGTTTTCTTCACCGGTAATTAATTTAGGGCTTAAATCTTCATCCCATCAGAACTTTATACAAAATCAGGGGCGGTTCTAGGCCGGAGTGGGCCCCAAAATTCAGATATATCTAATTAAGTTGGATATAATATCATAAGATTATAGTTGGAGTAGTGGTTAGAACACTTATGCTTTGTGTATGAGATCCAGTTTCAAGCCTTATTTTACACTTAACTATTAAAACATCTTCTTTTCAACATTTTTAATTTACTTTTTATTAGTATTTTCAATTATTCAATTAACCCACAAATATTTCATCTTCCAAAATAATTTTGCCCATATTATTCATAATTTCAACAGTTAAATCTAGTAATTGGAAAGAATTTCATCACAAACCTCTTTGGAATCGACAATGGATATGGATACGCCTACGGAGTACGGTATGTGTTACATATGTTTTTTTTCCTGTTAAATATGTTAATGTTTGATAATATTATGCTTTTTAATTTTTTTGTTAAATTTTAGCAATTATTATGTATAAATTATTGATAAGTTTTTATTTTCATTTTTTTATATTGATTACAACGGTTGATGAATGGTTTTGATGGAGTATTGGATTATACACAGCAATTAGCGATCTCGGATCTGTCGAATTCAATCGTTGGCTTGTTACAAGCTTTTTACCGATGATATTTTTCCTCTCTATCAAATATTTTGTGTAATTGTATTTAATATGTTTCGAAAGTATCCATCTGGGCATAAAAACGCAATAAAAAAAAAGAAGGAAGATCAATTCATTCAATCAGAAAAAGGTGCTTTAGATAAGTTTTTTTGTAATAGTGCTACAGTCAAATGATAATCCTATTAATTCTGAGTTAAAAGAAAAAAATGATAATGTTGGTGGTGATAATGTTAATGTTGACAATGATAATGTAGATGTGATTAATGACAATGTGGAAGAAAATTCAGACCATAATATTCACAATGTTGAAGAAAATGATTTTGTTTCTCGTGACATATATGATCCAAGGATATGGGAAGCTCTTGATCAGATATCGATTGATATTTTGGCTCTCAATGGCCCTAAAAGAGACTTAACCATAGTGAAAGGCCCTACAGACAAAGTATCTAGGAGATTTACTTCAAATTTATATACTAGGTATTTGCTTAATGGTGAAACTTGTGATAGAGATTGGCTTGTTTTTTTAAAGATATTGACAAAGTATTTTGTTTTTGTTGTAAAATCTTCAAAAAGGGTATCGGGAAAGGCAAGTTGGTAAATGAAGGATATAATGATTGGTCACATGTTAGTCATAGACTTAAAGAACATGAAACAAGTGTTGATCACGTTTTGAACATGGGTGCTTGGTGTGAACTAACAAATAGATTGAAAAATAATGAGACAATAGACAAAGTTGCCTAAGACCAATTTCAAAAAGAAAAGGAGTAGTAGAAAATTGTCATTATTAGAATTATTATTGTGAAGTTCCTTGGTAAAAATAACCTTGCATTTCCTTGGAAACACGAAAGGTTATATCAAAATAGCAATGAAAATTTTTTAGGTTTGATTGAAATGTGCTGAATTTGATCCTGTGATTATTGAGCATGTTCATCGTATTGAGAATGGGATTATTAATCATCATTATCGTAGCCATGACATTCAGAATGAATTTATACTCTTATTTGCTTCTAAAATCAATAATGCTATCATGAAGAAAATAAAAGAAGCAAAATATTTTTCTTTGATGTTGGATTGTACACCTGATGCTAGTCATCAAGAAAAAATGACTTTAATTTTAAGGTGTGTTGACAAATGTTCAAATTCTTATAAAGTGAATAAAATTTTTATTGAGTTCTTACAAGTCAATGATACTACTGGTCTATGACTGTTTAAAGTGTTAGAAAATGTGTTAATATCTCATGATCTTGACATAGATAATATTAGGGGACAAGGATATGATAATGGTTCTAACATAAAAGGTAAACATCAAGGTGTGCAAAAGAGACTATTGGATTTGAATCCTAGAGCTTTTTATTCTCCATGTGGTTGTCATAGTCTTAATTTAGTTTTGTGTGACTATAGGCGTCGCTTGAAGTGCGCTTACGTTAAAGCATGTTGTGAATATGCTTGGCACTCGTAGGAAGTGGGAATTGACATTACGATTAGGGACAACGATTAGGGACAAATAAAGTAGGGAGCCGCCAACAAGTTTTTAAGGAACTTGTAAACCGTTCACGGATCATAAAAGGCAACCACGAATAAAGGGACAACGAAGGCAACAACGATTGACCCGTGAAGGTTACACCCCATTAGGAATGGCAACGGATCGAATTCGGGTCGGATGTGGCTAAGTCAGAATCCGATCCATTTAGTAAACGGACCCTGGACTCGGATCCGAATCCAAGTCCGAATCCGATCCGACTCGTAATTTTCGGATCCGAATTCGGTCCGTTTTTTCGGACCTTCGAAATGATCCGAATATTTTTTTATTTTTTACTTTTTGTAATGTCATATACCTATAATTGCTTGCATTGTCATACTAATTAAAGTATAAACATAACATATTTCAATTATAAGTTACATAACAAAATTTTGCTACAAAACAAGCAAATAATTGTCCCAAGTTATAGAGCATATGCTTAAACTCTTGGATTCGGACTCGGATCGGACTCCGTCGGACTTTGTGTAGAGTCCAATTCCGATCCACCTCCTATTCGGATTCAGATCTAATTTATCGGATTCGGATTCGGACTAATTTTAAACGGATTCGAATTGGATTTTTTCCTTCGGATCGGATCGGATTCGAATCGAACTCGGTTTAAATTGCCATCCCTACACCCCATTCATAATCCATGAGATTACTAACTCCATATGGGTCGGAACCACGAAAGGAGGATCGGGGATGATGGTATGAAGTGAGTCATGGAGTCACATTCGCCCGTATTGGCCTCTACTCGATTCTTATATTGTAAAGAATTCCTGTGATCTCAAAGGCATACAAACAATAATTCAATTCGCTCCAAACTATTATTAAGCTAATTAAATTGGTGGAATATTAATGCACACATAATTCTAAAATATTGGTGATCACTTCAATTAACAATAAGATTAAAAGGATCCTAAACCGGTTGTCCAAATTATCTTATTAGGCGTGGTTTTCAATTACATATTCCCTTTAAACATGCAATATGGTGATTAATAAATATAATAGAACAAAATTAATAATAAAACCAATTAATCACAATTCCAACAACATAAAATTGCTAGAAAAATAATATAAATAAAAGGAGCATCAATCTTACTTTGATTCTGTTTGTTTGCAACTATAAAATAATAAACGAGTTAGTAACTTCAAGGAAATAATAAAACAATAACTAAATTAAATAAAATAAAATAAATTTGATTTTGGGGCCAAACCCTCAAACAGTTCTACCTTTCAGGCCTTGGTTTAAGGACAGATCCTCGAATAAAAGGGTAGGCTAGTGTTTAGGCTAAAGCATAGAAGAGAGAAAATAAAATAATAGAATTACTCGGTGCCCCGTATATCAGAAATGAGGGGGTATTTATAAGAAAAATGTGCTGAGGGAGCACACGAAACCCTAAAATGATAAAAACCCTAAAAAAGTATCCCGTGACACGATCAGACTGTACCGTCAGACGATACACTTTCTCGTGACATGGTACAGTTTTGGAGTGACGCGGGAAATTTTCAGAAAACGGGATGAAAAACACGTTAAGGGTTTACGCGGAAAGGACACGGAACGACCCGTGTCACGGTAGACCTCCCGTGTCACGGGAAGTCCCACCGTCAGACGGGAAGGATTCCCGTGACACGGTGGCAGTCTGCCGTGGCACGGGAACTTCAAGTCCATTTTTCCGTCTAAATTCATTTTTAACCCTAATTTATTTCGGCTTTTTAAGTGCCAATTGATAATTTCGGGCTTTTTCTGGCTTTTATTATTCGGGCTAAAATAAGAAAATAATTAAATAAAGAGGTTTGGGCCAAAAAAAGGTTTGGACTTAAAATAAATTGGGCTGAAATTCAAACTATGCTTTTACCAAACATCAAGACTAATCCATGGACCGTTCAAAAGTATGATTTGAATAAAATACGATTTTTTACGCACTTTCGGGATTAAATACTAAACCCGACCAATAGTGGCGGTGAATGGTCATTTATCATCGGGTTTGGTTTTGGGGAGACATTTTTTGGTGTCTATAAAAGCCCCCACTTTGACTGAGTTTGTAGAAACGTCAGTTTCGAAAACGATAGTCAAAGTAGCCGATAGGGACGGAGAATGATTTAAGACGTTTGGCGATCCTAAACCATTCTGCATACGTCGATACCTGCAAAAAAATGTTAATTCCACAGATAAAAGAGTAACGGGATAGAATACATATCTGGTACCAGTGTATCGGTGACAAACGAATTTGGCAGCTTCCTAAGCTTGAAGGAATCCACCGAGTGACATTTGTTGAAACGCTTTCCATGCTTGAGGAAAGCCGACTGAAGAATTTGGTAGTTTTCTAAGCCTGAAGAAAGCTACCGGATAATGCTTTCCATGCCTGAGGAAAGTCGACAAAAGAACT